AAGTAACAAACAAACTTACAGTCCACCTGAGTATAAGTTACTAGTGCAGCCCAGCTAGATCAGAGGAATCGAAGTAACAAACAAACTTACAGTCCACCTGAGGATAAGTGGCTAGTGCAGCCCAGCTAGATCAGAGGAATCGAAGTAACAAACAAACTTACAGTCCACCTGAGGATAAGTTACTAATGCAGCCCAGCTAGATCAGAGGAATCGAAGTAACAAACAAACTTACAGTCCACCTGAGTATAAGTTACTAATGCAGCCCAGCTAGATCAGAGGAATCGAAGTAACAAACAAACTTACAGTCCACCTGAGTATAAGTGGCTAATGCAGCCCAGCTAGATCAGAGGAATCGAAGTAACAAACAAACTTACAGTCCACCTGAGTATAAGTTACTAATGCAGCCCAGCTAGATCAGAGGAATCGAAGTAACAAACAAACTTACAGTCCACCTGAGTATAAGTTACTAATGCAGCCCAGCTAGATCAGAGGTCAAAAGGAATCGAAGTAACAAACAAACTTACAGTCCACCTGAGTATAAGTTACTAATGCAGCCCAGCTAGATCAGAGGAATCAAGTAACAAACAAACTTACAGTCCACCTGAGTATAAGTGCTAATGCAGCCCAGCTAGATCAGAGGAATCGAAGTAACAAACAAACTTACAGTCCACCTGAGTATAAGTTACTAATGCAGCCCAGCTAGATCAGAGAAGGAATCGAAGTAACAAACAAACTTACAGTCCACCTGAGTATAAGTTACTAATGCAGCCCAGCTAGATCAGAGGAATCGAAGTAACAAACAAACTTACAGTCCACCTGAGTATAAGTGACTAATGCAGCCCAGCTAGATCAGAGGAATCGAAGTAACAAACAAACTTACAGTCCACCGAGTATAAGTTACTAATGCAGCCCAGCCAGATCAGAGGAATCGAAGTAACAAACAAACTTACAGTCCACCTGAGTATAAGTTACTAATGCAGCCCAGCTAGATCAGAGGAATCGAAGTAACAAACAAACTTACAGTCCACCTGAGTATAAGTTGCTAATGCAGCCCAGCTAGATCAGAGGAATCGAAGTAACAAACAAACTTCAGTCCACCTGAGTATAAGTTACCAATGCAGCCCAGCTAGATCAGAGGAATCGAAGTAACAAACAAACTTACAGTCCACCTGAGGATAAGTTACTAATGCAGCCCAGCTAGATCAGAGGAATCGAAGTAACAAACAAACTTACAGTCCACCTGAGTATAAGTTACTAATGCAGCCCAGCTAGATCAGAGGAATCGAAGTAACAAACAAACTTACAGTCCACCTGAGTATAAGTGGCTAATGCAGCCCAGCTAGATCAGAGGAATCGAAGTAACAAACAAACTTACAGTCCACCTGAGTATAAGTTACTAATGCAGCCCAGCTAGATCAGAGGAATCGAAGTAACAAACAAACTTACAGTCCACCTGAGTATAAGTTACTAATGCAGCCCAGCTAGATCAGAGGAATCGAAGTAACAAACAAACTTACAGTCCACCTGAGTATAAGTTACTAATGCAGCCCAGCTAGATCAGAGGAATCGAAGTAACAAACAAACTTACAGTCCACCTGAGTATAAGTTACTAATGCAGCCCAGCTAGATCAGAGGAATCGAAGTAACAAACAAACTTACAGTCCACCTGAGTATAAGTGGCTAATGCAGCCCAGCTATATCAGAGGAATCGAAGTAACAAACAAACTTACAGTCCACCTGAGTATAAGTTACTAATGCAGCCCATTCGATCAGAGGAATCGAAGTAACAAACAAACTTACAGTCCACCTGAGTATAAGTGGCTAATGCAGCCCAGCTAGATCAGAGGAATCGAAGTAACAAACAAACTTACAGTCCACCTGAGTATAAGTTGCTAATGCAGCCCAGCTAGATCAGAGGTCTCCAGTGAAGCCAGGAATCGAAGTAACAAACAAACTTACAGTCCACCTGAGGATAAGTTACTAATGCAGCCCAGCTAGATCAGAGGAATCGAGTAACAAACAAACTTACAGTCCACCTGAGTATAAGTGGCTAATGCAGCCCAGCTAGATCAGAGGAATCGAAGTAACAAACAAACTTACAGTCCACCTGAGGATAAGTGGCTAATGCAGCCCAGCTAGATCAGAAGTAAATAATTGGGAATCGAAGTAACAAACAAACTTACAGTCCACCTGAGGATAAGTTACTAATGCAGCCCAGCTAGATCAGAGGAATCGAAGTAACAAACAAACTTACAGTCCACCTGAGTATAATGGCTAATGCAGCCCAGCTATATCAGAGGAATCGAAGTAACAAACAAACTTACAGTCCACCTGAGGATAAGTTACTAATGCAGCCCAGCTAGATCAGAGGAATCGAAGTAACAAACAAACTTACAGTCCACCTGAGTATAAGTGGCTAATGCAGCCCAGCTATATCAGAGGAATCGAAGTAACAAACAAACTTACAGTCCACCTGAGGATAAGTTACTAATGCAGCCCAGCTAGATCGGAGGAATCAGTAACAAACAAACTTACAGTCCACCTGAGTATAAGTTACCATAATGCAGCCCAGCTAGATCAGAGGAATCGAAGTAACAAACAAACTTACAGTCCACCTGAGTATAAGTTGCTAATGCAGCCCAGCTAGATCAGAGGAATCGAAGTAACAAACAAACTTACAGTCCACCTGAGTATAAGTTACTAATGCAGCAGAGTTTTAATTTTTCTGCTCTGAACTATTATTTCTAGAATAGTCGCAAAGTGCGCGAGCCAAGCAAACATACGCTGTTTTTGCATTTCAATTTCTATTGTGATAATATCGGGCACGGTGATTAACCCGGAGAGCGGCTAAAGCTCCATTTTATAGTACAAAACTACTCTAAATATATATACCGCTATATTTTGAAATATAAATAACGAGATTTAGGCTTCAGTGTGTTTCGCTAATGGCCCAATAACAGCTTCGCCACAAATGAAAGAGAGAAAAATTAGATTTTTAATCATGTCCTTATTATTCATTATTGATATCAGTCAACTTTGAATAGACTGTTTAGTATCAATCACTCAGCATTCCCTTTTAAAGAAAAAAAAAAACGAAACTAGTGAAAATGTAACGACTATATGTGACACGGGCATATGTTTACACGAATCCACTATAAACCTTAAAATTACGAGAACTTTCGATAATATACATTGCGTCCGGTCACGGACTAGCGATATTCTAGGTACTTATAATACAGCTATTTTAATAAAAAAATACACTACACACTGAGATCTAATCCCCTCCCCCTCTATGTCCGACTATTTAGTTGTCACTATTAACAGAAGCGACAAGAAGAGCATCAACGTAGAACTTCATATGCGCGTGAAGATAAAAATCTTTTACATGATCTAGTCCTCTTCTTCACCTGTAACAGTACAATACACTACATGGGTCTATCCCCGGGAATAGGTAGAATTTTCCTAAATCGACGCAAATAAGTTTATAATATTCGGGAGAATATCTCTAGAAAAAACAAAATGGCCGCCACATAGAGGGGGGAGGGGATTAGACCTCAGTGTGTAGTGTATTTTTGTATTAAAATAGCTGTATTATAAGTACCTAGAATATCGCTAGTCCGTGACCGGACACACTGTATAGGTGCACTTTGACAAGAACTTCCAAAAACCAGAAAGAAGACAAATCCTATGCAGACGCAAACGCGTGTACTGAATCTAAATTAATTTCAAATGAAATTGTTATTATAAGGGTCATAAGGCAAGTTATCACGAGAATATTATTCCAGACATCACAAGTACACTACTGAATTTCATTCCAGTCATCAAAGTTAATACGTGGGAATCCATCAATTTATGATCCTAAGTACGGTCTAAGTAATAAGCCACCAGCATCCATTAACCCATCGGTCGCCTTTACACTAACTGAGCTCGCTAGCTTTGACAGTAGTCCATGTCCGGTAGAGGACTGCCGCAGGCTGATGATGATAATAAATCACTGTACTTGAAAGTTGATTCGATAAATTGCCGTCTCAGTTTGATTGAAATATGGAGAAAGAAGTTTATTTTACCGACAAAATCATGCATGTGAGTATCCAATCATTAATTGATAGTAAAACAATGCTTACGCCTGTGCGTGACTGCCTGTACAATGCACGTTGTAATGGGAACGTCATTTGAATATCTAGCCGTTCAATATAACGATAACTGCTTCGGACTCAATTCCAAACGGTTAATCACGCTAAACGTTACTGCAAATAGTTTTAGTTCGATAACTATGTTCGAACTAGTTTTGCAATCTGATCACTCTCATACCAAAAATAGTTAGCAGGGTTCATTTTAGTAAAGTTTTATGTAAATGAATTTTGTGTAGATTTATTACAGAGATAATGTTAATTGCAAAATGTGCAGTGTAGGCGAAAAATGTATTTACAAATAAGGCGACAATTGCCTTAAACCTTTGTATACAAAATTTAATGATCAAGATTTTTTTATAGGATAAGGTGACAAACGAGCACACAGTCCACCTGATGGTAAGTGGTTACTATGGTCCATAGACATCTACATCTATCCTCGATTACGAATCAAAATGCAAATGAGTTGTCACCCGTGAGGACTAAGATGGAATGCCTTGTATCCAGTAAACAGGGTCTCCGGTTCTCTACACTCACCATACGGAACACAGTAGCATTAAGCTACAATTTTACACTGTTATTCTGTGAGAGCGTGAGCGTGCTACAACTATACGACTACTTATATAACTGCAGAATGGCTCTACCACATATAAATGTTTCTTTCGTTAAAATTCTGTGAGACATTTCATCTTCGTCCTGCAGGATGACAGCGATTCTGCGGCAATCTTTATTTGACGTAGGCTTCAGGTGTCCGTGGGCTGCTGTAACAACTCACCACCAAGTGAACTATTTTCACCCCTTTTCCGCCGAATATTATATTTTTTTTATATACGGTAGAAATATTTACAGCAGCCATGGTATACAAGAGCAATGAGAGTTTTTCGAAATTCAAAATATTTAGACTATGTGAACGGTGAAGGTGAGAATAATCCGCTTGCGAAGCGTATCGATTTAGGAAAATTCTACCTACTCTCTGGGATAGACCCATGTAGAGCATTGGACTGTTACAGGTGAAGAAGAAGACAGGATCATGTGAAATTTTTTATCTCCACGCGCATCTGAAATTCTACGTTGATGCTCTTCTTGTCGCTTCTGTCAATAGCGACAACTATATAGTCGGAAGGAGATGTTATCATGCCAAAAAAGCAAAATAGAGCGTTAAGTAGTACATTTGCAGAGATTATAAGACGTCTTTTCAATAAAGTAGACGATATGCAATATCTAAGGTACCGTAATATTTCTGTGCATTTGATAGCTTTTATCGCTTTCTAAATATGTCGCTATTATTAAAATTAACCAGTATCACAACAAATGTGGGAGTATAACATAACATATTCAATAATCGTAGAGTGAACATAATGTTCATGACACTCGTGACTCTAAGTATCTTTAAGCGGTCACAAGATACGTCGCTGCTGCCTTTCATGGCAGTTCTCGTTATCCAGCAACAAAGTTATGAAACAACCTTCCAACTTCTCTTCGTGAAATACGGTTACTAACTTACTTAAAATTTTGATAGAAATCGTATTTACAGGACACAATATTTATATATAAACCTACTATCTATTAATATATGTTGCCAGTGATGACATATCACATATCATAACTGAGAAGTGGTCCTTCACTGCTGGCCGTATGAGGACGCTCAAAGTCGCTCAGCGAGCTATGGAGAGGGCTATGCTCGGAGTTTCTCTGCGTGTTAAACTTAGAAATGAGGATATCCGCAGTAGAACCAGAGTGACCGACATAGCCCAACGGATTAGTAAGCTGAAGTGCCAATGGGCCGGCCGTATAGCTTGAAGAACCGACAACCGTTGAGGAAAAAAGGTTCTCTAGTGGCAGCCTCATAACCGGTGGGCGAAGTGTAGGGCGACCCCCCACTGGATGGAGTGATGAACTGGTAAGACATGCACGAAGTCGATGGATGCAGGTGACTCAGGACCGTGCTTTGTGGCATACCTTAGGGAAGGCCTATGTTCAGCAGTGGACTTGTGAAGGGCTGTAGTGATGATGATGATGATGATATATTAATGATTGAAATTCTAATCAGATTTTAATCCATTTAATTTTATTGATCAGACGTCATAACAATCGCTCGAGATTGGCAAAGAGGATATAACAAACAATGTTTAGAGATAATAAGCAAAAGAAAAAACAAGTTTTTGATATGAATAGGATGTATATCCTAGCGTGGTAGCCAAGTGTTCGTCATTTATCGGGCGTGTATCGTTAAATTTTAATTTTTAAATTACCTATGTAAAAATTGTAATTAACTTAATTCCGTGTAGGCATAGTATTTCTTTTAGGATTTATTTGCGGTCAATGTCTTATACTTTGAGTGGAAGGATCACGCTTTGATAGAATACCAACGCAAAGTTTAGCTACGTATAAAGAACGATATAGCCTTTTGACATGTAAAAAAGTATTCTGTATTTAGACCTTGAAGGTGACAATGTATCTGTGTTTTTATCGCGGACAAAAATAGTACTGTGTGGGGGCCGTAGCTTACGCTTATTATTAAGTGAGCTGTGTGCTAGTTTGTAATATTTATTTGTACAGAAAGCTGTTATAGAATTATATGAATCTGGTTGCATGAAATCAGCGGAAAAAAATATATGCCATTTTAGTCAATAAGCAATTTGAGTCATTATCTTATTACGCGCGTCATTTAAAAATCAAAAAACAAAATCGACAAAACAAACAATTTCTCAACACCAAATCACAAATGCTGCTGTAAACTTTCTTAAAGCTTCCACATACGAACTGTTTTATTGCAACCAAACAACTTTAACCTCTTAGGACCCCGCGGCCTCACATGAGTACATAGAAAATAAAAATTCGTTGAACGAAACGCGTTAGCATTTTCAAAATATGGCGCGTTTCTTTGTCTCAATTATGACTCTGTCATTATGATTAAAGTGACAAACAACTGTCAGGCGGCCATTATCAATTGCTGTGTCTCAAAAACTTCGTCTTGCCGGTAACAACAATGGCACGTGGTAAGTTAATCCTGTTTAATCAATATTATATCATAACTATATATTTTTATTTCACTTTTTTATACAGTTCTAGATGCATTTGAAAGAATGGAGTTGTTATTTTTTTGATTTAACAAAAAAAGTATGGATAAATCTTGGTTTTTTTCTTAAGTACTCGTATAAGTACACTCGGTCTTAACTTTAGTAATTTTTTAATTTTAATTTTGAGGTTATGTGAATTATTGCAATATTTATTTTTGTTTACAGCTTTGAAAGAAAGCGAAATTGAACAGCAATTGAATTTCAATGACTCAGATGTGGCCTTTCTGATTATGAAAAGGAAGATGTGTTCATTCAAGAACACCGCCTATTGTCGTCTGAGTCAGAAAGTGACAATGGAAGACCCTTTTTTACTGGAAACGAGGCATTCCATCTTAGTCCTCACGGGTGACAACGCATCTGCATTTTGATTAGTAATCGAGGATAGATGTAGATGTCTATGGGCCACAGCAAACACTTACCATCAGGTGGACTGTGTGCTCGTTTGTCACCCTAACCTATAAAAAAAATGGAAGCAGCCACGATTTAAGGCATTTCCAACAAGAGTTTGAAAACGAGCCAGCGGTTTCTAGTCCAGCTATGCCTCCACGTGAAATATGTACTCCTACACTTATAAGAGGACCTCCGAGTGTGAAATCAAGAGGGCATTCTCTAAGAAGGGGTATATCTAGGGGACGTTCGAGTGGTCCATCAAGACGTGTGATATCAGTAAGCCAAAAGCCGCGAGGCAGACCGCCAACTCGTTACCGTGGATCAAGGGTACGTGCTCAAGTTATTTCTTTTCATCACTATTACTCACCAGAAGACTGGAATACCACAAATTTTTCTTATACCTGAACTTAACCAGCCATCTTATAAACCACCATGTAGTTCCCACATGACTGGCGTCCTGAAGACTTTCTTGCCGACTATATCGATGACCAGCTATTGCAAAATATCACAGTACAAACAAACAGGACTTGCATTAAAAATTACGGGAGGTCACTGGGTCTCACTGTTAAGGAACTGAAAGTATTTTTTGGTATTACTTTTGTTATGTCTTGCCTTAATTATCCTCAACTACGTATGTTCTGGTCTAAAAAAATGGAAAATTCCTATTGTTGCTGAAAATATGACTAGAGATAGATTTTTCAAGATACGAACATCTTTAAAAATTGTATTTGATGATGAAATATCCTCTTCAGAAAAAAGCTCAGATAAATTATGGAAAGTGAGGCCTCTTTTCGATAGAATATTACTTGGGTGCTTAAAACAAGAAAGAGCACAACATATATGTATTGACGAAATGATAATACCATTTTCAGGGAGCTGTCAAATACGGCAGTATGTGCCAAATAAACCGCACCCATTAGGTTTAAAGGTTCTGGTTTTAGCTAATCCAAACGGAATAATATGCGACATATTTGTGTACCAAGGAGACACGACTTTTACCGATACTATGAGAAGCATTTATTCGGTCAATGATTGTTCTGTTCTTCAACTAACTGAGTCTTTAGTTCCTGGACACGTCTTATACTTCGATAGATATTCCATCCTCACCAGATCACCTCCCTTAAATTGGCAGAAACTAATAGTTGTTAAGATTATTTTGATATTTTGAAAACTTAGTATTTGTTGCAAACACTTAATTCGTTTTGAGATTTTTTGTTTAAATGTTGATTTTCATTAGTTCTTTCCTGTTAATCAGAAAGTTTCTGAGATTTTTGTTTTGTTTTTCGTTTGAAAATAAGTTTTTCTGTGTTTATTTAGAATATTTGTGATGCCAAAACTAAATACTAAAAAAATAAGGAAAATAAAGTTGATTTTCATTTCATTGTAGTTTTATTTTAAAGTGTACTCATGTGATGACACAGTCCGCTTGTACTCGTACGAGAACATAAGGAAAAACCTTGTGGAAAACGATGTATTTTTTCTCTATTTTTCTCGTACTAAAAAAACCCCCCTAGACGCAGTTAAAACAATTTATTTTTTTAAATTTGCCTATCTCCATATTCAGAACTCAGGAGGTTAAGAGTAACAACACACATTTATTTTTTAAGAATATCCATAAAGACCTCTACAATTGTGCATCATTTATTGTGTTGGTCAAATTTTATAAAACTTAAGAGTGTTTTACGTACGTGGGTCGTCTGAAATGTTTCCAACCTAACAAAAATACTAGACATTCTTTCTTAAAAATGTATTTTTGTTTTTCTACATAGTCTCCTCGTAACTATACACACTTCTCCCAGCGATGCTCCCATCTCTCTAATCCGTCCAAATAGTACTCGGCGTTTTCCTCTGCAAAATAATTGTTCATAAAGTTGCTTCCTCATATGACGAAAATCTCTGTCCTCCGGGCGCAATTATTAGATGAGGGAACAAAAAGAAGTCACTTGGAGCTAAATCCGGTGAGTAAGGCGAATGGTTAAGCAGTTCAAACAGTGGTTCGTGTATTTTCGCCATGGCAAGCGCTAAGGTGTGAAACGGCGCGTCTTTATGATGAAACAGCATTTACTTGTTTTGCAAATGTGGGCATTTTTTCGCAATTTTGCCTTCAGTTTGTCAAGTTATGATGCGTGGTATGCTCCTGTTATGGGTTTTCCTTTTTTAAAGATTATTTAAAAAAAACTTTTCAGACCACCAGCATATATTAACTGTTCTGTGCTGCCCGACTTCAAACTATTTACTTTAATCCCACTTCCCCAATCCCCAATTCCCACACAGGTAGGAAGTCGTATTTGGAGTAAAGGAGAAACAGATATTATACATAGATCGACGATAACGGATCGCCAAAGTGGTGTCTAGTATTGTCGTTGAAAAAGATGTACGCTTCAGAGTTTTGGAGTGCTTTTCTTCCGAATTGTGTTAACCCTTAACACCACACATGGGGGAGTTAGCTCCCCCCACCACTCACAATTTCAGAAATATTTTAAGTGTTTGAAACGTAACGCGGTTCAGTTTTCGTGTATTCCCAGTGCCGCCTGAGGTCTCGCGGAGAGTGGACGCGCACCTGGTTACTGTACTTAGTTCAAGAGGTACGAGTTGATGGGGGAGCATAGTCCCCCACGAGTGTAATTATGTTAGTTTTTTTTTGTTTCATTTACTTTTTTTTAGGTTTGTGGTGCAATATGGATAAAAATTTGAGTCTCCAGCAGATACAAGATCTGTTGAACGACTTAGACTCTGACGAAAACGTGAATGAGGACATTTTTCCTGATGCATCATCGGATTTGAGTGACGCGGAGTCTGAAATCAGTGATCACAATACTGAAAGTGAAGAAGAAGCGTAAAGTATCTCTGAAAACGAAGACTCAAGTGACAACGATGCACAAAGCCGTAATAGCAATGCTTTTTATGGCAGAAACAGGTACAAATGGTCTAAAGTACCACCATCACGATCACGGGTGCCAGCACATAACATTATTATTCATTTACCTGGTCTAAGAGGTCCTGCACAAGCCAAAAATGAAATATCTCCATTGAAAGCATGGTCTTGTCTATTTACTGAAGATATTATTGACTTGATTTTACAACATACTAATGAAAAAATCACAAATTATTCAGAAAATCATACATCTGACTCAGCCTATATTTACCATGTCACAAGAGAGGAAATTTTGGCATTTATTGGGTTGATGTTTTGGCATATGGTCAGCTAAAACAAAGAGTAGACCTATTTTCAGAACAGTTATGATTAAATTTATGAAAAATGAATTATCTAAATCGATTTTTGTTTATCTTATCATGCCTACAATTTGACGAACAACTTACACGAGAAGAACGAAAAAAGACAGACAGGCTTGCTCTCATATCAGAATTGTTTAGCAAGTTTATAAAAATTGTATCACCAACTACAGCTGTTGTGAGTACGTTACTGTTGATAAAATGCTCGTTCCCTTCAGAAGTCGTTACATTTTCCGTATGTACATGAAATCAAAACCAGCGAAGTATGGGCTGAAAATAATGATGCAAAAACACATTACTTGTACAATGCCTTTATTTATTCAGGAAAAGTGCCAACTTCTCGAGCTAATACATCTACATTGTTGATACCAACAAGGAACGTTGACTGAACCAATTTATTGAACTAACAGAAATGTTACTGGTGATAATTGGTTTTCATCGATTGAGTTAGTTGATGCTTTAAAACAGAAAGGCCTAACTTATGTAGGCACTATTCGTAGGAATAAAAGAGAAATTCCTCTGCAATTTCTTCCTCATACGAGTAGAAGCAGGCCACCTTTCCCGTCAATCTTTGGCTTTCAAAGAGATAAAACACTTGTGTCTTTTGTACCGAAAAAGAACGATAGTATTGCGCTCATATCCTCCATGCATCTTTAAGCTGTAACGAATCCTGAAACTACGAGTAAGAAACCAGAGATCACTGAATTTTATAATTCTACAAAAGGTGGCGTGGATGCTCTTGACCAGAAGTGTGCTGCTTACAGTGTCTACAGGAGAAGTCAAAGAAGGCCAACTACAATATTCTGTGCGATGTTGAATATATCAGGAGTAAACAGTCATGTTATCTATTGCGCGTCAAATCCTCAAAAGCGTATGAGCCGTTACAAATTTTTACGAGTAGAAGAACTTGGATATGCTTTAGTAACTCCACATGTTATGAATAGAAGATCTGTGACAAATCTTTCAAAAGAACTGAAAGATATCATTGACAAGTTTCTACGTGAGGTTGGTGTTCAGCTACCTGATGATCAACCTGCACAAGGACCGAGCCAAAATAAGAGACCAAAGAAATCGCGCTGTCATTTGTGCCCACGACTCAAAGACAGCAACACTCCAAGAATGTGCTCAAAATGTATGAAGAATGTGTGCCGTAATAATTCAGTAGACGTAAAAATATGTGCTACATGTCAGGGAAAGTATTAATTAGGCTAAAATACAATATTTTGATAGAAAATATTGAGACTGAAATGAGGTTCCTAAACTTGTAATACTTGTAATTCGTAAGATATGAGTAACTACAAAAAGACTCGATTTATTTTTTTGTTTTTAATTTTAAGTCATAATCGCTTTTCAAAGTAAACTCTTAAAAATTAACGTGATTTTTGTAACTTGTTTTGTTTGACGCCAGAAATGTCTATTTTTAAGTTTAAAGTTATAAATAAATACTCTAATAACATTCGAAAAATGTTTATTATTTATTTGGTTGAAAAAAGAAACTGGTCTAGTAATAAAAATTGGTACTGATATATGATTTCTTTTTGGGAGACCACGCTCCCCCACGTGTATAGATGTGTGGCCAGAAATAGCGTGTGGTGCTACGGGTTAAGTATAATAATTTTAAAGAAAATCATAAATCTATAAAAGAATACTTTCGACACCAGCAATTTATACTAAGCTAACTTATAATTGGTATGCTTAATAGTTAATTTATTCATCTTAATTTCCCATATTTATTTTTCCTTAATTATTTATATTTTTTGATTTAGCGCAAATTAGCCGTATATACACGTAATCCCTCAATAAGATTTTACATATTACATACGTCTAACTAATGTTAGCGTAGAGTATTACTGGAGGTCATAGTGCTAAAGAAGTGTTATATTTTTTGCTTTGCAATCATAATTGTAAAATTTATTAGACCCCTGAATTATAACCTTAGGTTTTTAGATATATTCACAAGGTATATACCTAATTATAAATTCTTATGTTAAATAACAAGTTATTAAAGTTTAACCGGTACATGCATTACTGGCGTATATCGTATTAAAAGCCGTCAAATTATTTATTATTTACTGTATGTACATCGACGTGTGCTATAAGTAAGCATATCATTTAACTTTCCGTTGAGCTATAACACATGTAGATTTTATAAATACTTGATAAAATTCTGTAGATAATATTATTTTTTGTGGGTATTTTGTAGGTAAAATATATAATTAAAACAAAAATAGTAATCAACTGTTTATTTAAATTTCAGGTAAGTACTTATTTCCACTTCGTATACTTCGAAAAAAAATTGTGGGTCACTTATGGACAAAAAAACTATCCTATCTCTCAAGTTGTTCGTATATTATACTAGCTCGCCAGACAGACGTTGTTCTGCCCCTTTCGACGACCCTTTGTCATGTCCTATTAAAAAAATCTTAATTGAAAAAAAATTGTGGGTCACTTATGGACAAAAAACACTATCCTATCTCTCAAGTTGTTCGTATATTATACTAGCTCGCCAGGCAGACGTTGTTCTACCCCTTTCGACGACCCTTTGTCATGTCCTATTAAAAAAATCTTAATTGAAAAAAAATTGTGGGTCACTTATGGACAAAAAAAACTATCCTATCTCTCAAGTTGTTCGTATATTATACTAGTTCGCCAGGCAGACGTTGTTCTACCCCTTTCGACGACCCTTTGTCATGTCCTATTAAAAAACCTTAATTGAAAAAAAAATTGTGGGTCACTTATGGACAAAAAAAAACTATCCTATCTCTCAAGTTGTTCGTATATTATACTAGCTCGCCAGGAGACGTTGTTCTACCCCTTTCGACGACCCTTTGTCATGTCCTATTAAAAAACCTTAATTGAAAAAAAATTGTGGGTCACTTATGGACAAAAAAAACTATCCTATCTCTCAAGTTGTTCGTATATTATACTAGCTCGCCAGGCAGACGTTGTTCTACCCCTTTCGACGACCCTTTGTCATGTCCTATTAAAAATCCTTAATTGAAAAAAAATTGTGGGTCACTTATGGACAAAAAAAACTATCCTATCTCTCAAGTTGTTCGTATATTATACTAGCTCGCCAGGCAGACGTTGTTCTACCCCTTTCGACGACCCTTTGTCATGTCCTATTAAAAATCCTTAAATGTAAAAAAATTGTGGGTCACTTACTCACTTATGGGCAAAAAAACTATCCTTTCTCTCAAGTTGGACCAAACTACACACGGTGTGCAAATTTGATTAAAATCGGTTAAGTAGTTTAGGAGTCCATCGCGGACAAACAACGTGACACCTAATTTATTAAGATTTAAATCAAGATTGCACATAACTGCTATTCTTAATAAAAAACAAAAACTTCTAAGTGATAAATATAAATCAAATAAATTAAATAGTATGTTGTAATCATTAAGTATTTAATATAATCATTCAAACCTCATCATCACTTATATTCTTCTCATCGTATTCAGTTGTTAATAAATTCCCATACAATGTATGATAGTTTTCGGGTACAATAATATTATCACATAAGTATTTTAAATCTTTATATTTTACTACATTAATTTTTAACAAAGTTTTGTATGCTTTTTCGGGAAAAGCCTCCAAGTGGGATAATATAGTAGATATCTTTTTAAAACATTGCTTTTGATTGCTTTCTTTATCACCTAAGCTATACTTATATTCCAACAACTCGTAATTATCGGAAGAAACTTCAATTTTTTTAACTTTATTCCACATAACTTTATCGTTATTTAAATTTTTAGTCCAATTTTTCTGCTAATATTACTTTTAAAATCAAATATCATGTTTTGATTAACATCGATAACATTGTAAGGATTCTCATTGACCTTTGCCCGTCGTACTAGTGAATATCACTCATCCGGCGAAAATAACTCTCTACCTCTTGCAGTCTTTTCTATCAAAGCGTGAACTGAATCTCCTTCATTATATGTATGGCCCTTTTCCATAAAATGCTGACTTATCTTTATTTTAAAAGTTTTAGCAGCTAATAAGTACATATAGTAAACAAATACGGTTACGATTTTGTCCCCCACAGTTGTCTGACCATAGATTAGACTTGAACTCCCTTAGAAGAAACTAGCCACTTCATTAGCCCCCCTCTTAGCCGTTTGCTCATCCCACATATAACAAAATGCTTCTTTTGATCCCATATTGTAAATTGTAAAATTATATACATTGAGCTTACGCCTATAATAATACACACTTATAATTACCATGTGGTGAGTTTAAAACTTTTTGAAAATCAAATACAATACAAACTACTTTGTTACTAGAGACAGCTAATAGTGTACATTCTAATTTAAAATTACGGGAAATTTCTTTTTCTGTTTGATGTTTTCTGAAGTTTTCTTTCAATTCATTTGTAGGGCTAGATGTATTTTTGTACTGATGACAGAGGTCGCATTGGTCTTTTTTGGTAAATGAAAACCTATCTTCAAATTAGTATTAACAATATCTCTATACTGTCTTACTGTCTTAACTCTAACGTTATACTTATTATCAGCACACCACTCATCATACAACTTAAACATTTTTGAAAAAGATAAAGAAGGTTCTAAGTATTTTTTAGTCGTACGTTTTCTAACGTAGTGAG